CCCTGCCCCAGGCCAGGTCCGGCGGGTTAAACTGGCACCCGCCCACGCGCCCCGCCCCAAACCGGCGTCGCTCTCACCGGCACCGGCGGGGGGGAGCAGGGAGGGGCGCGGAAACCCGTCCAGCGGCAAGATGGCGGCACCCTCCTCCGCGCCGTCATGACGAAACAGATGGCTCAAATTGCATGCACCCCACCCCCAGTGTGGCCCAATTAAATTCATCCCATTCATCTGTCTCTTAAGGGTTTTTTTGACAGATGTTGTGGAATGGCTCTCAAAAGATATGGCAAGAAGTGGTTTCCCCTTAATATCTCTTCTTTCCGGAAGTGTCACAATGGTGGAGGACACTGAGAAGTATCAGCTTAACATTAGAAATCAAGAGGATAAAATTACTAAGGGGAAGATCTTAACATACCTACCCTTTTGATTTACCTATCCTGCCATATTTTTCCCCTCTACCAGTGCTTTTCATTTTACAGCTAGGCAATGACAGCTGTCGTCTGTTCACATTTAACAATAAGAAGTCTTGCCTTACCAATCCATAAGCATTCGACAGCTTAAACTGACAAAGGCATTGAGCAGGCAATATTTTAGAAAGTCATAACAGTGTGTTTTATGCAATGGCTGTAAACTAGCAAAGCAAAGCAAAACCCCTCCCATGGTTGAACTTACCCCAATATACCCAATTATATATTTTGAAGCTCTGAATAAATTAATAGTAACTGACAAAAAGAAGTTATAGTGGGTGCAAGGAAAGGAAGAAAAGACAGGTAAGTGCCTTGAAGAATATTGGAATAACGGCTGGAATACCAAGGGGAAAGCAGGAGAAAAGCTGCTTGGGGTGAACCTAGTCGGCCATCAGGCACACAATGAATGGTTCTGTAGCTTATTTACAGGGTGGGTTGTCATATCCTGCAAACCTGCCCTGTGTATTCCTTCTAATTCAAAAGGGTTCTGAAGATACTTTGGATATAAACAGAAGAAACCATTCTTGTTAAAATTGTGATGGTACAATGGGTATATAAGATGTGTGAACTCGTTAAGCCAGTGTCACAATTTCTGCCTGATGAAATGACAAATTGTAGTTTGGATATGAGGAAGACAAATTATCTGCATGGGTTAGCAGCACTATCAGATGATACAATATTAAGTAAGTTATTCTAGTGCTAAGCATGCGCCTTCCTGGTATACTGGCAGACAGCTTGCAGGCAGTCAATCAGTGGTTTCAGAATTAATTGTATTTTGAAAAGCATTTTTATATTTCATTGTATTTTCTGGTACTTTAGAATCCTATTTGAATGAACTTCTTAATAAAGCAGTTTGTACAATTGTTTTATTTTAATAGTGCACGTTCTACACTTTTCAAACACTTAACTGCCTAACTGGCAAGAAATTTTTGCACAAAAATATCTTTCCAAGAATAATATTCTCTTGTTCAGTTTGGTTGTGGAGCTCTTGCTTAGCATTGCTTTATTTTTTTTAAATCAGTTACAATCTTCTGCAAATGGGGGGTTTCTTCTAAATTGTACTTGTTAGAGTTCAGGACATTTTTCAAGAAATCATTGACTAATGCTTACCTGCTGAAAATTAGGTGTGCAAGAAGGAAAGATACATGAGCAAAACATGTTCCATCCACAGATCTGAGTATTTATGGGTCATTATTCTTATTTATGAATTTAACACTATATATTCTGATTCACAGAAGAGAATGGGGAGGATAATAGAACTACCAAATTGTAGACAACTCATTTTTAAAATGTAATTGATCAAGAGGTGGTCTTAACATGATTTCATTTTCTAAAAGAAACTTAGTATACACCTACAATAAAGCCAGAAACAATGTTATTGCCCTTTTTCAAATGTGATTTTATTTAAAAACCATAAGTCAGTCTTGTTGTACCACATTTTTATTAAATTCACATTTAACACTTAATTGCAATAGCTTTCTGCTGGTTCCTCTCTTTAAAAACCATATAATCTTTGCAACCATATTTGTCTGCAGTTTCACTGGAGGTTCTCCAAAGAAGACAGGCATCACAAGCAAGCCAAGAAATCTCTGAAGGCAAAATTAAGTGAGAGAGAGCAGCAGCAGCCAGAAGAAACCCAAGAGATGGAATTCGCAGAAAATGCAAGAAATTCAGAAACACAGTTCTGCAGAATGGAAGGTGGTTTGCACTTTCCAGTAATCTCTGATCAACAGCCAGCTGATGTTGAAGAGAGGAGAACTGAAGTTCTCGGGCAGAGAGATGTGGTTGTCTACAATAATGAGTTGTCTGCAGAAAAATGGAATGCAGGTCATGTTGCTGATAAAGACATAGGAAGCTTGCATCTGGATCAGCAAGACATGCATGAAAACTGTGAGGTCCAAATATTCCAAGAAAGCTGCACCACAGTGGAAAGTGGCGGAAACTGTGGGACAGAACCAATGGGAACTGATTTTGAATCTGGATGTGATTTCGACTGAGAGGGGCAAATATTTGCCAAAGTAAAGAACTCATTTTGATTATTGCTATCAACCATGACTGCAAGATCAACCTGACACTGTTTGTTTTCTACAGGTACATAGCAGAAATGCTAGTGATACTGTGTTTCCTTGTGGCAATGTATGCAATGTTATTTAGGCTTTTCAGTCTGCAGCTTCTCCAGACAGAGCTGGGAAAATACTTGCCTGAAACCCTGGGGAGTTGCTGCCCATCAGTGTTGACAATACTAGACTAGATGATCCAATGGCCTGACTCAATGACCCGGTTCACATGATTGTAGCATAGTTAACAAACCGCTATGGGTTGTTAACTCCACCATGTGTACCAGTTGCACACTGGCTAGATTTCCCTAGTTAAGTTTGCTGGTGCAGCATGCCATGTCATCCAAGGTTCCCTATGGGTTGCTGCCCTACTCCCAAGAAGGCATGCCACCAGGATTCAGATGAGATGGCAAGCTGTGCCAGTGAGGGTAATTAAGGAAATCTGGCACAGTGGGAGAAATAAGCCACCATGGTGTATTTCCCTTACTGCAGTCATGTGAGTTGGGCCAGGATAAGGCAACTTCCTGTCTGCCTAAGCTGTGTTGAGCTGCTTTTTAAACCAAACAAAAAAAAAATCCTGTACTTAATGCATTCATGTATTGTAACAAACTATAATTGGGATGCGCCATGTTTTATTCAGTTTTGTCAAATGGTATTCGGGAGGTAAAAGGGGGTTTTAAAGAACTAGCTATAATTATATTTGTCTTAAGCACATCTACTCATGTTGCCTTCAAGAATGAGTAATCTCGTGCAAAACTTTTAAAGCAATAATGAAACCTTGTAGTTATCTAAGAAACTTAGTGGCAGAGAACGCAGTGATTTTCCACATCCTAATCTGATTCATAAAACAAGACCATAAAACAAAGTGCATGTGAAAAGAACACCTTTTCATTAAAGGTTGGACACTTTTCACCTGCTTATATCTCAAGCAGGTGAGAGCTTTAGCATAACTTTTCACAAGAAAATAACCAGCAAACATTACATGAGTGGAAGCCACTACGCTCCTAACTGATACAAACAGATAAGCAAAATGAAACATTTTCAGCTGAAGCAGTACCTGATGTAAAATCACTTATTTTCTCATATTTTGCGGATATACTACTCTTTGCAATAAAACTTGCATAATTTGAATTTGTAAGCTTTTGAATATATTTGACTTCGTGATCATCATTTTAATGTACACAGTATACTTGCTTCTCTCATTACTAAGGAAACGCACCTGGGTCTACATTTGGGCAATGTTTAGAATCTGTAAAGTGTTTTGAAAACGCCTTCTGTCCTTACACAAATTGAAACTTGGAGCCTATAAACAATATCACTTCTTTCCCCTACTGGCTGATTTATGTTTGATAGGTCCCATTAGTTTCTCTGTAAAGTATCCTGACTCAATAAAATATGGTCTCTAGGTGCACATCATGCATACTTAAGCTATTTTTTAAACTGTCAGCTTCATCTACTAGATAGAAACTGTAATTTGCAGAGCACTTTAAAACAAAACTGTACCACTTCAAATGGCCACATAAAAGATAATGAAAGAATAGTTTAAAACATTTCATTCCACATCCATACACAAGGCAGTGTAATTTTTTCCCCTGTAATCGAAGAATGTTTACTTTGGCTTAAGCAAGTTAGCTGAGTATCAGGAAAATAGCATTGTAAATAACTTTAATTACTTGTGGAATTCTACAAAAAAAGTATCTCACCCTGAAGCAAACATGAAATATCTATGCCCTAATCTTTCATTTAATTGCTATTCAAATACAAATAACTTGGCGTCTAGTTTTTGTAAGAGTTAGTGTCACAGTTGGTAAAAACCATAAACTAGTAACACTATGACTGTATATGTTTTTAAAAACAGTGAATATTCCATTTGTGTACTATTTCATCATTCTTTATGAACTTTGTACATGACCACAGAACTACAGATGGCAGTAGAAGCATATGGCACCTTGAGCCAGTACATAAGCTCTAGAGATCAGAATTTACTTCCCTACTCGGTTCTTCTTAAAACCACCAGAGCAGCAGCTTAAATGAAAATTATCAGAAAATTACACTGTCTGACTATGAATTGGCTTCCTGGCAGTCATAATGTGGGATGGGACAGGATTCTTAACCCTCATGGTACTTCTCATCTACATCAAGCTGCTGAAGATTCAGGGATTTGGAGGCACATGCTATCAATATGCAGATGACACCCAGTTCTGTTTCATAGCTTACATGTGAATCAGCTGGGTCCACGCAGGTTCTGACCTATTTGAATTCAGTGATGAGCAGGATGAGGAGCATCATCTTTGCCTGTGCTGACTGTTGTTGATGGGAGCTGTAACAAAATAGTGGAGGCAAGCAGACTGAGGACGGCCAACACAGAAAATACATTCACTTCTGTTAACATACATTCACTATAGAAGGCTGGTGTCTCAGGAGCAGAATAGGAATAACCTTAAGAATAAGAACTGCCATATACTGAAGGATGGCTGCTTGAAAAGACTTCTAGTTCCTACTAGGAATGAAGGTAGGTAATCTAATGGGATGAGGGAGGGAGGATCCAAGTGCATCCCAGCAGTGGCAACATTTCCACCTTGCAATGGTCATTTTTAAAAAGGTATTTCCTTCCTGCTGGTCTTAATTGTAGCTAATGAAGCCTGTGTTAACATCAGAACCAATTCTGACTGCTTTCTTTTTATATAATTTAGCCTTTTAAGTTGAGTAATTATTTCAATACTTTCGTATATTTACTGTTGGATTTGGTTTTTAACTTGGTTTTAAGGTTGCAGTGTTTCAAACTGTTGTGTACCAGCTTGATGGCTTTTTAGCCACTAAGGCAATATACAAATGTTAATACATAAATACAGTAAGAACTACAGAACTATGTTAGATTTTCACATTTGCCTCTGGAAGTGCATACAGCAGTCAGCAAGCAGCCTCACAGTCCAACTAGTAGCACAATGAGGCCCTCTATGAATGCGTTGGACTGGAGCGCTTACATACAGGCATATGATTTCCACAATTCTGTCTGTCTGTCTGTCTGAGTCACCACTGTGTGTGTAATCTTCTGTAGTCCAACCTTCACTGACCTGGGAACAGATTCTCCTACTTCCAGACTTTGCGCCCAGACACAAAATACTCTAGCAAACATAGAGTTTATGTCAGATGCTCGGAAGGCTGTTGTGGATGCCCCCAAATCCTTGCAGAGAGCTGCTTCTAGCGCCTACTGCATGGAATACATGGGTCATCTTCTCAATCTGCTGGAATAACTGTTGGAAGTAAAAACTACCACCAGCACGTAAACCAATGGTACCCGATCCATAATCTCCTGAGGCAGTATGCAATTCTAGTTAGCCAAATGGTTGCATAATCAGGACTTGGTTGGGTTGTCCTACCTTACAAAGCTTCTTGAAGAAAGAAGGGAAGGAGACTATCAGGGCTGTTCATATTTCTGAAGGACAACCACCTTAGATTCAAATTGAGGTTTTGTATCCTACTCCCTATCCCACAAAAGTTTCTGCTCTTTTGTAAGCTGGATGCCTCAGCAGGTTTGTGACAAGATTGTAAACAACTCTTTTCTGGAAAAGTCTGTTGATCCTCATGATCAGCTGCGTCAAATCTTCCTCTGAAAGTTCACCCTCATCTGAAACATCTGTAGAGAGCTGGGAAAGGAGGGGGACTTATGCTTCTGTGTCCTGGAGGTAGAGGGAGGTGTTTTACCTTGTGAGTCGGATTGTTCTTGCACACATTGTTGCTAGATTGTGGTCTCCGCTCATAAGGATCCTAGTGGACAGATGTCTGGATGAAAGTGGAATCTGCAACCATTCTTGTGTTTAAACCTGATCCACTCTGGCTGCGACAATGTGTTTTTATTTTCCTTTATGAGATTTCTTATGGGGAAGGTTAATCTGGTGGAGACTATCAGCCCTCATGGCCTGCTTTATGTCCCTGAAGACTAGAACTTGCACCCACTGTAGAAACTTGAAATGGACCCAGTCCCTGCTCAGGTCTGGCAAAATGGTGGAGGGTGGGAAAGAATTATTACTCACCCTTTGTCAACCTGAGATTTTTCTCTGATACCGCGCAGTTCTGGCCATCGTTGGTGCTGGTGGGCATTTCTCCTGCATCCCTGTCCCAGTTAGCAGAGAGGAAAGGAGACTTCCTGTGTGCCTGCCCTGTGAGAGGAGGGAGCAGGGCCCAGGGCAGTAAAAGTAGCATTCCCTCTTTCTTGCTTAATGGAATGGCTACCAACCCTTACTTTTACAAGTAGGGAAGGAAGTTGGGGGAGGGGGGAGAAAAAAGACTCAGCAGTTAGAATAACATTAAAAAGACACAGTGAGCACACAGCTCACCAGAGGCCCTCTTCTTCCACCACCAAGTGGGCCCAGCCTGGAGTAGAAGGATATCCTCCTGCTTGAGAAGATAGTGATGTTAGCACTACTTGTGAATGGAAGGGGGCTTTTTTGAAGATACAGAATGAGGAATGCCCTTCAAAATTCCTGGAAAACTGGCCCACTGTTAGCTATCCTAATAAACATTAAGCCGCAAGCAGACACAACTCTTTCCGCTTCCCCCTAGCTAAAGCTTGAATATTTATCCTCCGTATGTTTTCTAACACTCAGCAATCTCTTCCCATCAGTGAGGCCAAAACTCCATGAACATCGTTTTCTGAGAAGTAACCCCAGGAATTCAAGGGGGTATACTCCTGAACAGGCACAAATAGGCTTACATTGTAAGGACTTTGCCAAACCCTGCTAAATGCATGTGAATTTTGCATTCTAAAAAAATGAATGTCTCTGAGGTACAAAGCCCCCTGGCTGCTGTCAAAAGGCACGTACCATCTGTGCTTGCACCCTGTTGACAAAATTGCCACAAAACATCTTCCTTCCACCAGAATTCCCCAGAAAAAAAAGTAGTGTGAGATTACTTTGTTCTCAAGAAACCTTCAGAGGGAATTATGCAGGGGGTGGTGTGCACACATTGTGTATGGCCCTGCACAACACCTTCAGCTGCTTTTCTTTAAATAGCTTTAATGCTAAACAATCCAAACTACGTAGTATTAAGGCACTACAAGAGGCACTTTGGGGTTCAAATGAACCATGCCAATGAGAAAGGCATGTTAGCGCAGGGACTTTTTTCCATTCTCAAGTTATTTGTTAAAATCTTAAAATTGCTGTTGAAGTATTAATGCATTTCCCTCTAATGTGAATGAAGCTAAGCGAAATCAGAATGACTGTTATTTTCTCTTAGCTGGTGTGTATTCATTTGTGTAAGTTTCTCCTTTAGGATAAATGAGCAGTCATGATACTAGGCTGCATGAATAATCTTCCTTCCTCTTCAGTTAAGGAAATTTCACATTAAAGGAATTATAAATTACTCAGCAGTTATTATATTTTATAAAAACGTTGTTACATTAGACCATTAGGATGCAAAACAAATCTCCAAAGATTAATAAGTAATGTATCATTGCAAGAGAACTAGTTAGTGAGGGGCCTAGAGAATAAAATTGAGTGCTTCAACTGAGTGGAGATCTTGTTTCTTCAGAGAAAATATTCTAGGTGAAACAGGAATTTTAACATCTTGTTAGAAGTGCTTGTGTTATAATAGTTCAACCTGCTACAGCTAGCTTGAAATTCACAAGGTAAGACATCCTTGCTATAATTAATAGGTTTTGCGCTTTGGGCCTGTTCACAGGCGGCTGGCTGCTTTGCTGAAACACTTTACAGAACCCTAGGTGCATGTGATATCCGACAATTAAAGAGACATGCTCTTGTCCCTGAAGCAAACAATCAGTATGAGATGATGACACAGAAAGATGGAGCAGAGACATGAAGGGGGAAGGGGCAAGACTCAGAGCAGTAAAAACCTGGCTTGTCTTGGTATGTCCTTACTGAGATTTTGGAAGAAAGCAGGTCTGCACATAAATCCAGTGGATCATTATTGTGTTGCTGTACCCTAAAAGGGACGTCTATTGTTTTCTACCTTCCTTCCAACTGGTAAAGGAAATAGTTGCATTTGAAAGCTGCTATAGAGCGCTGGTTTATAGTTCCACTTTAGACCTGACACTGCTACTGTCACAGATAATCTCCCTTTGCAGGAAGATTAATTCCCTCTGGCTCAGAGAATTTAAAAAGATCAGAATTGGCATT